ATCTCTTGTCAGTGGTAGTGGGAATCTTTAAAGGGGGACTTCACATCTGTTAGTTGCTTTATTGCCTTTAAAGCTAGTGTCTGCTTGTTAGTCCATGGTGGAGAATCTTTCTTCAACATGAGAAACAAGTGTATTGTATGACTTGACAACTTTAGTAAGAAATCAGCCATATAATTAACAAGACCAATAAATTGTTGAATTTCATTTTGTGACGTCAACTTGTCTGGAAACTTGCGCAATTCTTGGGCAACATAGGTTGCGGCTGATACGTACCGTCGAAGATTTTCATTTTAAGGAAATCAATGGAGTTAACACCAATTTCCATTTTTTTTTCAGAGAGCATGATACCATACTTTGTTAATATGAAATGGAACTGTGAAAGTAAGTATACATGTGATTCTCTATCCAGAGAGAATATGAGGATGTCATCAATATATACCAAGGTGGTTGTGGAGAATAGGTTTACTTTTTTTTTACCATAGCCTTTTGGAAAGTTGATGTAGCGTTTTTTAACCCGAATGGCATCAGCTTCCACTAATAATGATGATCTGGAATATATATAAGGCAGTTTTTGCTCTTTCTTCAGGAGTTATGTCGAGCTGCCAAAATCCAGCTTTAAGATCGAACTCAGATAGTATTCTTACTTATGCTCAGGATTGGAACAACTTCTTTTTGGGAAGAGGGAACTTATCATTGTTCAAGAAGTGATTGAGAGACTGATAATTTATTTCCAATCTTAATTTACCACGAACTTGCTCACTTTTTTTGTTGACATAAAACGCTTCACATGCACATGGCGACGTAGTTGGCTCTATGATTCCTTGGTCAACGAGTTTTGAGCATTCTCGAACTACAAGTAGGTAATGGTCAGGGTTCATACCAGGATGACTTGCTTTTGTTGGGTTTACGTCTTCATTCTGCTTGAATGAGAGGGTAACAAAGAACAAATGATTTAGCCATAATGATTTTCTTTGAGGAACTCATTATGGTTAGAGGCATAAGAAATCTGGATAATTTGTTGTTTGAGAGTTTCCACGGTGAGAGTAGAGGTCATGTAGAGTTGTTGAATTGGGCTCCAAGGATTTAGGAAACTCTTATAACGAAGACCTTGTTCTGCATATCTCAGACATGGTAGTGTATGGTGGATATCAAACCCAGTCAGTAGATTGTTTTCATGTAAACTTGATCCCAACAATCTGTGTTTTATGACGCACTTGGGAAAGAGTGATATATACCAAGATACTTATATTGTCAACAAACGTTCACCATTGGCTGTTAAGAAGTGTCGATGATGTGGTTTCCAGTAATTGCTAGATAGAATGTCAGGATATAGTATCGAAACTGAGGATCCTGTATCAAAGAATACAATAACTGGGTTGGGTTTGGCGTATGTGGAAGTAAGGAGGTGAACTTTTACTAGTGGTGCTGGTTGTGCTCTTTGTAGGATAGTATCTGAGGGGTTTTGGGGGTTTGAGTAGGGAGAGAAATGTGAGGAAGTGGAAGAGGGTTTGCCATAAATACCCCGATATCATAATATCTTTTCGAATAGTCTGAATCTGAGTTGTATTCTTTATATGATGACGAATCAGAATAGGCAATTGTGCATATCATATGATCAACTGGTTCGTCGTCAAGGGAATATAGAGATTCAAGATCAGAAAGATCGACCGTTTCAATCTTACTGAGTGTTTGAATTAGTGCTTGAGACTTGTTCTTGTCTTTACAATCCTTGGCGGAATGTCCCTTTCTGTGGCAGATGTAACATCTGTCAGTGGTTTTTCCTCGTTGTGATTTATTCCTCATGAATTTCCACTTTTTTCTTCGAGAGAACGACTTTCTCCCTTTCAATGAGTTATGGGTGCTTGATCTTCTGAACTTTTTGTAATGAGACTTTTTCCCTTTGTGAGAACAATCACAATTGGATTTGTCTTTGCACTTTATTTGGAGCTACCTTTCGTCATAGGCTACTCCAAGTCGCTTACTCATTCTTTTTCAATGTCTATCAAAAAAAAATTTGGTTGCAGAGTTTGGTGAGTGCGTTGAGTATCAATTGATAAAGCCCACCAAGTGAGGTTTATGGGATTGAGATTCGTATAAACTCTTGTTTACCTCATTTGCAAGCGACTCTTGGAAGGAGTTTATGAAGACTTGTTTGAGATTCGTATCATCGACACTATTAAGGCAATAGAACCTTTTTGACATCCGATCAAAATGCCTTTCAAGGTCCTTTTTCATGAACGAGCAGGACTTCATTTTCAAGAATTCATCTCTTGCTTTGTTTGTGTGCTCGACAGGATTGTTGATAAATTCAATATAGATTATATTCATGAACTCTTCAAGAGAATGTGAATGCTGGATCTAGATTTGTTTGTATTCTCCAAGGCTCATGTACCAATCCCGTAGGTGGACTTGAGTTTTGATTAGGAATCTCTTAATTACTATGTCAATGTCTTATAATTGAAGTTATGCTGAATACCAACTTAACATCTCTATGCTTTTGTCTCGCCATTGGGACGGTGGGATATCATCAAAGGTGAATTGTAGTTTGGAGTCACCTTTTGGAGTCTTAGCTCCTCTGGGTGGTGTCGTTGTGGAGGTGGCATCTTTTAGGCCATAATCACCATCCGAATCATTTTGTATAGTGGATTTTGGTTCCATCATGAACATATGTTTAAAGGCTTCAGTGGGATCAAAAGCTTCTTCTTCATGTGGTGCAGGGTTGATAACTGGGGAGTATTTTTTCTTCCACTAATGCTTGGTTCATTGTTGAGTATTTTCAAAAGGGCTTAGTGGGGGAAACTCGGCCTGATATTCAGATGATGATGTTGTTGGGGTAATGACACATCATTATTTCTGGACTCACTTCTGGGGACCATTAGGGAGTGGGTTATGACAAGTCTCGCAGGTTGTAAGCGTCGTATGTAAGGAAGGATCATTAAGTGGCATGTTGAAATTAGGATAGAAAGTCAAATTCTCTTCCCAGAAAAAAACCCAACATCTTCCCTACTGTCCACATGGTTGAGCCCATTCAACCCTCAAAACCAATAAAATGTTGCTGGTATGACGTCTGCCATTGTCAGGAGTGCCTAGACGAAGTGTACTGAGTTGAGTATGATAAGGACATTCCAAAAAAGAAGGGAAAAAAGATATGAAGTAGGAGATTCTACTGTAGGACCTCTTGGTGAACCATCAGGAAAGTTCGACTATTATGTTTTTTATGGAGATTCTCCAATTACAACATGCGAGACTTGTCATAACCCACTCTCTAATGGTCCCTAGAAACGAACCCAGAAAGAATGTTGTCTCATTACCCCAACAACATCATCTTAATATCAAGCTGAATTTCCCTCACTAAGCCTTTTGAAAATACTCAACAACGAACCAAGCATGAGTGGAAGATAAAATCACCCATAACCATAAGCGCTACAGGGATCTCTAGTTCCGTCACTACTATTGAAGTCACCCTCAACTGGCAAAGTGAAAATGCTTTCGTTCAGAACCAAGTCCTAAGAACCATCCTAGCTTAACAAACGAAATCCATGAAGACACAGAAAACCCTTACTACAAGAGTTTAATCTCTTGAGGGAATGATCAACAAGATCAGAATCAAGATGCAAGAGCTTCATAATGAACTACTCTAATTAGTTCGTGCCATTCTTCCTTCCCAACTATAGACCACTCTCGCACAAAAGGAATCAAAAATGAAGTTTCTTAAAAACCAACTTGTTGATCTTGAAATACCGCACAAACAACAAAGGATATCAACATTCGTTGATGATCCATGGAGATTACCCTCCACATCGTTTGTTAGAACATCTTTTGACCTACAACCACTACCTCCATCACCACCTCGACAAAGCTCTCCATCTCTATCGTTATGGTCCTCAGAAAAACAAAAACTGAAGGCCAAAGCCTCCCGATTCTCCGTAGGATCATCTCAAGCTCCAGGAAGGACAGTGGTAGCCTCGACCACATAGCCTATGCCTGATGATACTTCAATGACGGCCTCCTCGACGCTCCCAAATGTTTTCCTGATAGATCAACCAAACCCCATTTCTTCATTCCTTAAATCATTAGCCCAATGTCAAAAGTACCCAGATTCTGTAGTTGTTGCCCCAGTTATCAACCCGGCACCACATGAAGAAGATGCGTTTGATCCCACTGAAGCCTTTGAACATTTGTTCATGATGGAACCAAAATCCACTATACAAAATGATTCGGATGGTGATTATGGCCCAGAAGATGCCGCCTCCAGAACGACACAACCCATAGGAGCCAAGACTCCAAAAGGTGACTCCAAACTACAATTCACCTTTGATGATATCCCACCGTCCCAATGACGAGACAGAAGCATAAAGATGTTAAGCTGGTGTTCTGCAGAACTTCAATTATATGACATTGACATAATAATAAAGAGATTCCTAACCAAGACTCAAGGACGCCTCCGGGATTGGTACATGAGCCTTTGAGAATACATACAGATCCAGATCCAACAATCACATTCTCCTGAAGAGTTGATGCATATAATCTATACTGAATTCATTGGCAATCTTGTCGAACACCCAACCCAAGCAAGAGATGAATTCTTAAAAATGAAGTGTTCCTCGTTTATGAAAAGGGATCTTGAAAGGCATTATGATCGAATGTCAAAAAGGTTCTATGATGCGAACCAGTCACAGGCAGCCCAACAGCAGCCAGCCCAACTTCCATCCAGGCCCAAGCGAATTCCCAAGAAGCCCAGCAGATTACTTGACTGAAGATATCACCAACGGTTGCTGAACAATTCTCCCACCTTTCCTGGTTTCCCTCATGCATGCACGTAGAAGTAGGAAGCATTAATTAAGTGGTTTAACCACATTTCCATGTTCTGCATTAG